CTACCTCTGTAACCTCTTTCATCACTAAAAGCCTTCCAATTTTGTAAGGTCTTCCAATTTGAGCTTCTTGTCTACTACGCCTGATGTTCATCTCCTTCTCCTGTTGGAAGCCATGCTTTCAGCTGGCTGGGATCTCGGCTCTGCACTTCCCTCCCTGAACCTCTCCATTTCTCTTGCCTCCTTTAAGATGCTCCTTAAAACCTACTTCTTCGAGTGATCTTTCCATCCTTCATGTGGCTTGGGGTGTCAACGTTTGATTTCATTACCACTCCTGTGAAGTGCCTTTGAACATTACAAATGCTTATAACAGGTGAAAGATGGTGTTGTTATTGAATGTGCTTAGCATTAGGATGACTGGCAGTAAACCTGGATTACAGAAATAAAAACAGAAAGTGTTGGACAAACTCAGCACCTGTGGAGAGTCAAACAGAGTTAATGCTTTGAGTTAAAAATGACTCTTCTTCAAAATATTTCCCCAGTTGTTCCTGGCACTGACAGTATTTACTCACATTTCTACAGTATATTCTTGCAAATCATACTTTACAGGATATTAGCTTTTAATTAATTAAAAGTTGATTGTTTGAACATGAGACAAAGGAGTGTCCTGGCCAGGGTGGCAATAAACAGGTCCAGACAGTGACTTTGCCGACTGCCTGCCCCTCTTCCGCGGTTATGTTCCAGCTGGGGTGTGCTTGCAGAGGGGAGCACATGGTTTCATCAACGCTCTTAATGCCTTTAGAGAGAGAGACACCATGGGGAACACAGTGCTTCATTTCAACCTCCAACTCCAATTTGATTTAGTCCTCTCCATCTCTCCCTGTTCCCCATCCCACTCACTTTTTGATGTCAGCATTGCCCTGAACATTGCCTTTAAGACTGCACCTAGGGGTGCAGGTGCATAGTTCCTGGAAAGTGGAGTCACAGGTAGACAGAGTGATGAAGAAGGCATTTGGTACGCTTGCCTTTATTGGTCAGAACGTCGAGTAAAGGAGTTGGGAGGTCATGTTGTGGCTGTACAGGACATTAGTGAGGCCACTCTTAAAGGCAAGCATACCAAACACCTTCTTCACTACCCTGTCTATCTGCAAGTCTGCATTCAAGTAACAATGAACCTGCATACCTAGGTCTCCTTGTTTGGCTACAGTCTCCAGGACCTTACCATTAAGTGTGTAAGTCCTGACCTGATTTGACTTTCCAAAATGTAGCACCTCACATTTACCTAAATTAAACTCCTTCTGTCACTCCTTGGCCCATTTGCCCATCTGATCAGAGTCCTGCTGTGTTCTGAAGTTACCTTCTTCACTGTCCACTACCCCAATTTTGGTGTCATCTGCAAACTTACTAACCATGCCTCTTATGTCCACATCCAAATCATTTACATAAATGACAAAAAGCAGTGGACCCAGCACCGATCCTTGCAGCACACCGCTGGTCATAGGCCTCCAGTCTGAAAAGCAACCCTCCACCACCACCCTCTGGTATGTTTCTGTGCTATATGACTCTATGACTATAACAGGCTTTGCTTGTAATTATTCAATTGGCCACACAGGTGTTTTCCTGGTGGAGGAGAAAAGAAATACAATAAAGTCTATTCACAACAGTGTCTTCATTTCTGAATCACTCTATAGGAAAAAAAAGGAGCAGGAGTTGACTATAAGGCTGTTTGATTTTGCTTTGTCATTCAATAAGATTATGGCTAATCTTTGACACTTGACTCCACTTTCCTGCCCTCATCCCCTTGATTCCTTTCATGCCCAAAACAGTGGTCTTGAAATATTTTGGAAAATCTGCAGTCCTGTGAGGTAGAGAATTGCAAGGAGTCACAACCCTAGGTGAAGAATTATCTCCTTCCCAGCTCAGTCCTAAATGACAGGAGATCGGGATCTCATAGTGCTAGACTTCCCAGGAGAATTAACCCACAAGAACGTTCCATGTCAAGTTCTCTTGATATTTTATACATATCAATAAGGTCGTCTATCTTTCTTCTATGAACCAGAAAAGTAAGTCCACTCTACAGTGGGTGGTGCAGTGGCTCAGTGGTTAGCACTGCTGCCTCACAGCGCCAGGGACCCAGGTTCAATTCCACCCTCGGGCGACTGTCTGTGTGGACTTTGCACATTCTCCCTGTTTCTGTGTGGGTCCTCTCTGGGTGCTCTGGTTTCCTCTCATGGTCCAAAGATGTGCAGGTTGGGTGGCCTGGCCATGGGAGACGCAAGAGTAGAGGGGTGGGTTTGGGTGAGATGCTCTACGGAAGATTGGTGTGCACCTGATGGGCTGAATGGCCTGTTTCCACACTGTAGGAAATCTCTGCTCAAATGAAAGCAAATTGCCAGAGGTCTGAAATAGAAGTTAAGGAAACTCAACAGGTCTGCAGAGAGAAACAGAGTTAATGTAGCAAGTGCAATAGGGCTCTTCTTCAGAACTGATGGTAGTGACTAAGGGGCAGGATGAGCAATTGGAATGGATGGGGAGGGTGCCCAGAGCAAAAGGCATTCTGCTCAACCTGCCCTCATAGGAGAGATCTCTTTTTCTAGGATTAGAAGTGATCTGGTCCATAAGCACATTATATTAAATATCTCCCCTACTGAGGACCTTTCAAAAGAACGATGATTCACCTCTAAATAAAGCAGAAATCACTGGAGAAACTCAGCAGGTCTGGCGGCACCTGTGGAGAGAGAAACAGTTGTCATTTTTGAGGCTAGTGACTCATTATCTAATTGGACAACATTAAACGTTAGAAATTTAGTTTCACCCAGACACTAGTAACAGTTTATAGTAAATCATCAGGTTGTTAATTAGTTAAAGGTGGCATTGTGGCTCACAGCACCAAGACCTGGCTTTGGTTCCACCCTCGGGTGACCGTCTGTGTGGAGTTTGCACATTCTCCCCGTGTATGCCTGGGTTTGCTCTGGGTGCTGCGGTTTCCTCCCACAGTCCAAAGATGTGCAGGTTAGAGTGGATTGGCCGTGGGAAATGTGGGGTTATGAGGGATAGGATTGGCTAGTGTGGGGTCCTCTGGGTAGGATGCTCTTCGGAGAGTTGGTGCAGACTCAATGGGCTCTATCTGCACTGTAGTAATTTTACAGAGACAACAAGGTGTAGAGCTGGATGAACACAGCAGGCCAAGCAGCATCATCGGAGCAGGAAGGCTGACGTTTCAGGCCTAGGCCCTTCATCAGAAATGGGGGAGGGGAAGGGGGTTCTGAAATAAATAGGGAGAGAGGGGGAGGCGGATAGAAGATGGATAGACTCTCTATCCATCTTCTATCCGTCAGCCTTCCTGCTCCTATGATGCTGCTCAGCCTGCTGTGTTCATCCAGCTCTACACCTTGTTGTCTCGGATTTTCCAGCATCTGCAGTTCCTACTATCTCTGTAGTAATTTTACATTTGGTCTAAAGTTTGAGCAATATCCCAGTTTGAAGGTTGAGTAATGTTGCATTAATGATGCCCATGACTGTGTCTAACACTTGAGCCAAGACTAAGCTATCATTCAGAAGTTGCTGGAAAAGCTTTTGAGCTTTTGTTCTGCTTTTGTTCCTGATTTACAGCATCCGCAGTTCTTTTGGTTTTCACTAAGCTATCATTCCCTGTCCAAGAGATGCTTTGTCCTACAGGTTTAAGAAGTGTGACTAGGAAACCTAATAAATAATGGTGTGTAGCTTTTGTAATTTACGTGTAATTGACAGGTTCATTCAATTTCAAAAGATACCCTTTGGTCTTCCTCACTTCAAGACAAAGAGAGAGTAGTCAGTGTCCCTTATGAGGGTTTGTTTTAAAACATATTGTTTACTTCACCAGCTAACTATGAAAGTGTGTTTGATTGGACACTCCCCAAATATCTGACTTCACACGTAACAACTGCCTCCTAGACTGAAGTAAAGCTTTAACAGAACAGAGTACAGTACAAACAATACAAGACTCCATTGTTTTGAATACTAAATAAAAACCAGAAGAACTGCGGATGCTCTAAATCAGGAACAAAAACAGAAGTTGCTGGAAAAGCTCAGTAGGTCTGGCAGCATCTGTGGAGAGAAATCAGAACATTTCAGGTCCGGTGACCCTTCCTCAGAACAGGAAGAGTCCTGAGGAAGGGTCACTTGACCCGAAATGTTAACTTTGATTTTTTCTTCACAGATGCTGTCAGACCTGCTGAGCTTTTCCAGCAACTTCTGTTTTTGTTCCATTGTTTTGAATCAGGAAATGCACATTGAGTAAAGTTCTAATCAGATATGTTGCATTTCCTCTTGCTTCTGCTTAGTTTTATTTCTAAATAAACCAGATTTGTAACTGTAGCCTGACAATTACTACATGTCAGAGAAGTATGTATCCTTCAGCCAGTGAGGTTTGATAGTGCTCCTTCCACCAGACATATCAACTGATAAATAGGTTAATTATAAACCCAGAGGACACCACATTCCAGATGACTTTATGCAACAGATCATGCTTTGGTCCATAACAATTTGCAAGTGTTCCTTTATATAAAGGCATGATAAATTCATATTGTAGCACATTAACTGTAACACCCAACACCAACAACACAAGTTGCAGTGTGCCCATTCCAACAACTGTGCAACATGTTTTAATCAAACCCTAAAATAGAAATGAAGACTTGCTCATATTTCGTGCCTCACTTTGACATGTGATGAGTGTTAGATTAGTGAAGACATCAGCGATTTTAACTGCAGTATGTTCCAACAATTGGCAAGAAGATGAATGCATCTTGGTGGCTATTTGGTTGATGGGATATTACAAACTGTTGAAGTCCTGGTTGCACCATGGGGATATTTGCCACCACCAGAGGTGCAGACAAGTCTACGCTTCATCTGAAGATTTATTGAGAAATGCAGAACTTGGTCGTAATGTATTGGAGAATCAGCTCCAATGACACCTTCATAGCCTGGAGTGAAACCCTGAATCTCCAGCCTTGCAGAGGAGATTGACATCAACTGACCAAATCAGGGCAAAAATACAGCAGAGAGGAAGAAAGAGAGTCTTGCATTTATATAACACTTTTCACAGATACCAAAGTACAAAGTAAATCGCAGCAGATCCAAATACCTCTTGGACCTCAATAAAACATGAAAAATTGTGTTCTGATTAAAAAACAGATTTGTTGGAACCTCACAGCAGATGTCTGTAACCAACATTATCACAACAATAATGATAAAATGTGACGTGTTCAGTCCTGAGATGTAGGAGAGCAGATTGAATTATAGAATTGGCCAGCACAGCAAAGACACCATTCAACCCATATGTTCTCTGTAGTAGCATTTACCTTCCTCGATCAAGTCCAACTCTACTGAATGTTCTTTCAAATAACCATAATTCCCTTTTAAAACAGATGACGGATTCGTTTGCAACAATAGTTTGACTTGGGAGGTTTTACACTTATCAGCCTCTGTCAAAGGATTATTTTTCTAACCTTCCCCATTAGACCTTTTTAATGATCATCTTAAGTTTGTGCCTCCTTGTTATGGTCTTATTAAGCTGTAGAAACAAATGTGTCTTCTTCAATAAGATCAACCTCTGCTTAACGATCCCAACAGGTCTTCAGACTGGAAAAGTACTTATGTCTTTACTAAGAAAGCAAGATGTAAGAGCAAGACCAGACATAGCCCATGGACCCTGCTCCTCCACTCAATAAATGGCTGATTTTCTACTTTAACTCCACTTCCCTGCACCACTGTCCCTCAGATTTTCCCACAAGGCCCAATCATTTGATCACCCAAAGACATATTGATGCCTATTTTAAATTTACTGAATGACTTAGGGCACTGCTTTCTGGAGGATTTCAAAGATCCACAACTTTGAGTGAAGAAATGTCCCCTTATCTCATTTCTATTAGCTATCCCCTTATTCCTGAGACTGTGACCTTGTGTTCTAGACTCTGTTTTCCCCTTGGCTGCAGTGGGTCAGTATCTACTGGTCAAACCCTCTACGAACTATATTTGTTTCAATGACATTTATCATCTTTCTAAAATTCAGAGACCCTGCCTACCAATTTTTTCCCTCATTGCCTCTCCCCATAGTCACATTGTCCATAAGACACAAGAGCAGAAGTAGGCCGTCTGGCCCATCGAGTCTGCTCCACCTTTTATTGCTTCCCACTTCCTTTGCCAGGTCTTATCAAAGGAGCTCCTTTCCATACCTCCACTCCACCCTAAAATATGTCAATCAGCAACAAGGTCATTAGGACATTACAGGCAATAACTGTTGCCATGTGCATCATTCCAATTATCATTCATCTAAATGCTTTGAGTTTTGGACAATTAAAATGTCTTTCTGAATCTTGTGCTTCTTGTAAGGAATGCGGTGTTGGGGAATGGAACATATTTCAACAACTCATATCATGGTCAGGCACAAATTTAGCTTCTATACTGCTCTAACAATTAGCGTCAGTTCCACCTCTGTGTGTGGTCATATGATACTTTTCCAATCCCTATCCTTTCGATGGTTACCCAATGGGAATACCAATGATTTGTTCAAGCTGGTGTGTATTAAGACATGGATGAGGGTGGTCACCTCATTTCACATTGGGCTCTTAGCATGTGGCATTGGATGTTGTCAGTGTCTAAGTTGCTCCATCACTTTATTTTCAAAACAAAAAGACAGACGAACTAAGGCTCAAGGCCCATGGTAGCATTGTTACTACTCTTCCAAATCTTGGCAAAGATAAAAGTATGTTGGGAAAAGAAGTATCTCCTGTAGATTATAAAAAGATGGGAAGACTAAAGGATGTGAGTTCATTGATCTCAAACTGGAGAGTAAATTACAGCCCAGGGTTCCTGCTCCCGACTGTGATTCCGTGGCCATTGCTATAGAGGACTTCTGCAGATGTGGCAAGGTTAGTTTTGAAGGACCTGCAAATGCTCAGAGCAAACGGACAAAGATTGAGATCTCAAGATTTTTTAGACAGCTCTTTCAAATGAGCCAGCACAGGGTAATAGAATGAAAGGCCATTTGGTCCATGTTAACTTTACATGGGAAGAGGAGATTCACAGTTTCAAAAAAGCCCGAGAAAGCCTAAAATAAAACTCAACCAACCTCATATCTCTTAATCCCTTTAGCTTTCAAAAGGAGTTAACGGTGGCAGTGGGGCTGATTAGTCTGGATGGTAATATCATGAGGATTTGATTGAGTAGGAGGGACAATGATGGAAAGATGATTCAGAGAAGCAACGACCTTGAGTCAATCCCCTCTTGTGACTGCAAATCTGGCAAAGAATCTACGGACTGAAAACGCACAAATGATTTCAGGCGTGTTCCGGGGACACTGGTGGTCTTGGTGAAATATCTTTCCCTGAAGGTGCTCTTTGGCAGGTTAGGGCCATTGTGCGTTTGATTTTGGCTTCTCTCCTGTGCCTCCAGTTCTCTGGCGCTGTAGAGTGGCGTCTTGGACCTTATGGTGTTGCCAAACTTGGAGTAATCAACCGAGTATCGGCCCTCCTCTTCGGTCACAATCGGCACAAACCTGTGGCCCCAAAGTATCTCCTCCGGCAAATAGGATGTCCTCGCCTGGGTGGTAATGCCAGTGGTCTCCACCACCCCTTCAAGGATGACCACTACCTCAAGGTCCTCCTGTTGGAGACCAGCTGCTGATAAATCATAGAGTGGGCTCTTCTTATCAATGGTGTGGCTAATGATGAGGGGGGAAACCAAAAAAATCGCATTGATACCAACTGGGTTCTCCACTTGGATGTCAATCTGCGAGATGGGGATGACCTCACCTTCCCGAGTGGTGGTCTTCTTGATCAGTTGCATTTGGATGGTGGCACTAATTATCATACTCTTTCTCAGGTCCCCCACCCGGAACATAAAGCACAATTTCTTATTTCTCTGAGCGATTATTGCATGCTTGCTGAAAATGATGGTTTCTGCTCTTCGATTGGCCTGGGCAGTCTTCATGAAGATGCAGCCCAGCATGACTGCATTGACAATGAGGCCCGAGATGTTCTGGATGATCAGGACTGTGATAGCCAAGGGGCATTCCTCAGTCACCATTCTGCCTCCAAACCCAATGGTCACCTGGACCTCAATGGAGAACAGGAAGGCGGATGCGAACGACGTGATACTAGTGATGCAGGGAACAATATTGTCCTGATCGGTGTCCAGGTCACCATGGGCAAAGGCAATGAGCCACCAAAGCATGGCAAAGAGCATCCAACTGCACAGGAAGGACATTGTGAAGATCACAAGGGTGTAAGGCCACTTGAGGTCCACCAAAGTGGTGAAGACATCTTGAAGGAAGCGTCCTTGCTCACGGATGTTCTTGTGAGCCACATTGCAGCCTCCATTTTTGGTGATGAAGCGAGCTTTCCTGGATCTGGTTTGGTAACGAGGCTGAGAGAGGTCATCTTCCACCAGCCTGGTCAATAAGTACTCTTCAGGAACGATTCCCTTTCTCGCCAACATTGCTCTTGTGGTTGGATACAACTGCCTGTGGGACAGTAACAAACATAAACAAAATAGTTAGTACCTTTGCTGCCTTACTGTGAATCAAGATCTAGTCATTGGGCCTATTTGACTATGGCCACTTCTGTCTAGACTTATTATAGAAATGATTCTACTGACTAGCTGTGCATTTTTTATTCCTGTTGTAATTTCCTCCTCTGCCCCTTTAATTATCTCTTCCCATTACTTAATGGCGTCTAGTATCTCACAGAGGGTGGCCAAGGCAATGCTATTTAGGTATGCAGACCATCATGACTACTTGGAATCAGCTAGTGTCATGGATGACCATCTAGTTGATTCTCTTGCCTTCAAATTTAGAGCGTTCTACCATTACCAACCCCAGTGAAATCAACACTTTCAGAATGACAAATGAAGCCAGAGACCAGAAGCTAAATAAAGCTTGCATTTGTATGGTTTCTTTCAAGATCTCAGGATGAACCAAAATGCTTTATCGCCAATTAAGTATCTCTGAATTGTGGCCTCTGTTGCAATATGGGGAAGCGCGGTGGTCAATTTGTGCACAGCAAGATCCCAAAACAGCAGCGATAAGCAACCAGTTCATTCTGATATAATGCCTGTGACCCAGGATTGGTCTGGAGGACACCTTTTCAAGTGACAAAACTTGGAAGCACTTCTGAACTGTGAGATGCATAGTGAGGGACCTCAAGAGGAAATAGACAAGCTGATAGTTAAGGGCAGGCAACTAGTTGATGAAACTAAAACAGAGAAGTGTGAAGAGATTCATTTCAGGGAGAAAAGCTAAGAGAGCCAACCTAAAATAAAGGGAAATATTCAAAAAGAGACGCGGAAGTAGAGGAGCTGGCAAAAGATATAGGCACACAAGTCACTGAAGGTGGAGCATAGGATGATAGAAAGAGGTGAAGAAAGTCGATAGATCCAAGACTTTATAAATGGAGGCATTAGGTAGGAAAACAAGGGAATTATGATAAACCCTAACCAAATCCTGGTTTAACCACAACTAGAGGATTGTGTACATTTCTGGTCATCTCACTTTAGGAAGGATGTAAAGTCTTCAGAGACAATTCAGAAAAAAACTCACAAGGTGAGTTATGGAATGAAAAACTCAAGGAATGTGAGGATGGATTGGAGAAGCTGGGACTGTTCTCCTTGGAGAACAGAAGGTTTAGTAGAACTGCTGAAGGGACTGAATGGCGTAGATAGAGAGAAACTGTTGCTATTTATGCAGGGTTGAGGACCAGAGAATACCAATCTAAAAGGTGACTGGGAAAAGAAACAAGTTACAGAAGGAAAAATGTTTATATGCTTCACGTACTTAGGGTCTGGAATACACTGCCTGGATTTGTGGTGGAGGCAAGGCCACAGGGGATTGGGATTAGTGAAACTAGATGCTCTTGTGAGCTAGCACAGGTACAATGGGGTGAATGTCCTCCTCCTGTGTTTCAATCATTCTATACAAATTAGGAGGAGAAGTGGACCATTCAGCCCTTCAGGCCTGCTGGGCCATTCAACAAGGTCATGGCTGATCTAATTGTGGCCTTCATGTTCCTGTCTACCTCCATGCCATTTAAATCCCTCATTAGTCAAAATATTATCCAACTCAGGCTTAAAGATATTTGATGGTCCAGCCTCCACCACTTTCTCGGAAAGAGAATTCCACAAACTCATAACCCTCTGAGAGGAAGAATGTCTCCACACCTCAGACTTAAATAAGAGACCCCATTACTCCATGATAAACTGTTTCAGTGATACCAATTGAGGAATAAGTATTGGCCAAGACCCTGGAGAGAATTCCATTGCATTTTTTCAATTGTGGCTATTGGGCCTTTTATATCCACCTGACGGGACAGATGAGCTCTTCAGTTAATGTCTCATCTAAAAGTTAGTGTCTCTAACAATGCTGCACACCCTCAATATGGTGTCAATGTTTAGATTTTGTAATCATGTCTCAGTCCCGGAACTTTAAGGTCTAACACAGAAACAAGAGACTGCTACTACTAGTGGTCCAGGGAGATGCTAACAAATTTATTAGAGTTATCATAATGGCCTGGTATGGCAACTGCTCTGCCCAGGATCGTAAGAAACTACAGAAAGTGGTGTGCACAGCCCAAACCATTACGGAAGCCAACCTCCCATCCATGGACTCCATTTACATGGCTCACTGCCGCAGAAAGGCTGCCAACATCATCAAAGACTCATTGCACCCTGGTAATGATCTCCTACAACCTCTTCCATCAGGCAGAAGATACAGAAACCTGAACGCACACACAAGCAGGTTCAGGAACAGCTTCTTCCCAGCCATTATTAAACTGATGAATGGACTTTCTAACTTCACATAATGCTGATCTTGTTAATGTCGATCTTGTCTAGCACACACCCTGCGCGACGTAACCTGTATGCCTCTAAGTTTTTTTTCACCTTATGATCTGCACATCCTTGCTTCCTCAGATCTGCCTATACTGCTCATAAACAAAGCTTTTCACTGTACTTCGGTACATGTGACAATCAAAGACCCCTCCCACCCCAGGTTGTACCATCTTCCATCCTCTCCCATCAGGCAAAGGATATAAAAGTTTGTATACATTCAAGAACAGATTCAAGAACAGTTTCTTCCCTGCTGTTTAGACTTCTGAATGGACCTCGCTAATGTTAATTCTGATCTCCATCTCTGAGACTTCCCTGCAGCAGTAACATTGTATTGTGCACTCTGTATGGTACAATCTGCCTGGTTAGCATGCAAAACAACAATTTTCACTGTATCTCTGTACATGGGACGACAATAAATCAATTGCATAAAACAGTTAAAAACCAAAAGAAATGCGGACGCTGTAAATCAGGAACAAAAACAGAAGTTGCTGGAAAAGCTCAGCAGGTCTGGCAGCATCTGTGAAGAAAAAAATCAGAGTTAACATTTCGGGTCCGGTTCTGAGGAAGGGTCACCAGACCCGAAACGTTAACTCTGATTTTT